ACTTTAACGGCTAAGATTGACGGACCTGGTGTACCTAGGCCTAGCCTAGACACATACGTAATGTAGGCTTCTCTTTGGGCGACACCGTCGGACCTGGTGTAGGCCTAGACACATCTGATATACTGTACCGTTAGGCCTACGTGAAGTAGGTTTCTTGGCCTACCACCAGCCTACCGTCAAGCAATAAAAATCAACGTTTGTGGAATTATTTTCCAAGAAATGATGGTTAAAAATTCTGGACACATAAATATGCAGCATGTGATGGACGAACCTAAGGGTTGGCGGGGGCAGCATGTGATGGACGGACGAACCTAAGGGTTGGCGGGGGGACGGGAGTTCATCAAATGATGTTTGGGAAAATAATGGTCGGAAAATACAGCATCTGATAGACAGTCCCGGGTAGGGGAGAAACTTAAAATTCATGGACACACAAATTTACAGCATAGCTTCATCAAAAGATGTTTGGGAAAATAATGGTTAGAAAATACAGCATCTGATGGACAGTCCCGGGTGGGGGAGAACCTTAAAATTATGGACACATAAATTTACAGCATGTGATGGACTGACCGTCTATACGCATATACAGCATGTGATGGTGGCATGTATCTGATGGACAGTCCCGGGTGGTGGAGAACCTTAAAATTATGGACACATAAATTTACAGCATAGTTTCATCAAATGATGTTTGGTAAAATAATGGTTAGAAAATACAGCACCTGATGGACAGTCTCGGGTGGGTGAGAACCTTAAAATTATGGACACGTAAATTTACAGCATGTGATGGACTGACCGTCTATACACGTATAATTACAAATACTAGCCCTTCAAAAAAGACTAGGCTAATTAATTGGGCTAGGAGCATGGGCCCAAGCTAGACAGACGGCGCCTTATTTTCGCTGCGGTTCGCGATCTGAACTTTCTCACCAGAAAATACTGTTTATGGAGCAAAAACTTGTGTTTCTTCATGATTTTAAGGGTGGGGGGAGATTTTGTATGAGGCTGGGCAGAAGGCCTTAAAAATAGATTTAGGATGGGTGCAAGACGTCAAGAGTGGGCGGCGCCGCCCACCTCCGCCCTGCATAACGACATCCCTGCACTTCTCAGAACCCCTTACCCCCTCCCCCTTTCATAAATTTCTGGATCCGCCTCTGATTTTTTTAACTCAAAATGAAAATACTGTATTACCTTACACAATCATTATTCAAAAAGATTCAATCAAGTTATTGCAATTCACAAATGTACATTGATTATTTACGTACAAAGGAACGTACGCACCCGCAGGGTTCTGGTTATTCATTATTTTCACTTGACTCGCATAAATAATTTTGTTCGAAGAACATTTATATGCAGTTGTAATTCGTAGCACTTCACTTGCAATTTGCAATTTCTAGTTTAATTTTTTAAGTATACAATTATTTGTGATAATTTTATACTTAAAAAATAAAATCATGTTATTTTTAAATATACAATTATTTGTGATACTTAAATTTTCCTAATCATTGTGTTGTAAATTTCTCTTGCAGAATTCCATCCGACATAACTTGTCTTTAAATCGGTACTTCTTAAAAGTACCGCGGTCACAAGAGGAACCAGGGAAGGGATCATTCTGGCGTTTAGATCCAGCTTCGGAGGCAAAGCTGACGGAACAGGCATGGCGGCGGCGTAGGCAACGTGGAGTTCCCTGCTTTAGGACGCCTTTTGGTGGTGTCTCATCTAGGTAATTGATACAAAAAATACTTCGATTACTCATTTTATCATCGTACAAGCCTGTATTAGGGATTGATGTTTGTGACTGTCAGCAAAACACTCTGAAAGCTAGGTCTCTATTGAATATCTTCTGTTTGGTGTATACAGAGACATTATCCATTGTTGACTTACTAGACTATGTTATGTGGAGAAGAATAAATTTATGAATTGTTTATGTTTATTTAGGTCAGCACCTGTGTCTCCTACACATCACACCAATTTCCCAGGCACGTTCACGCCAGATAGCTTGTCGAGAGAAGGCTCTCCTGTGTTGCTGCCTGTAGCAACCCGGGAAGAGACTGTGGAGAACATTGCTCCTCTAGATCATCACAGAATCACGGCTTCAGTACAGGAGGTAAGGGGTTCAGATCTTTTTGATGGTCATGTCACTCGTTTTAAAATTATATCAGTATTTTTCAGTGTTTAGGTTATTGTTACATCAACCTAAAATCCCAATTTTGATTGTATGTTTTGTCCTAATACAATCCATGCATACAAACATCCAATCTGAATTGGTTTAAGATAGCCACTGCCTATTTAGAATGGAATTTTTCAAAAGAAATCTATTAAGTAATGAAATAATCAAGCAATTCAAAAAATAAAAAATTTACACCGAAAATACCAACCAACCACAGCCATCTTTGTTGCCATCATATTGAACTGTTATGTTCATTCTCCACTTCCAACTTATCATCATAATCACTACCTTCTCCATCTTCATCAGTCAGGGCTTACGCTAACCGACCGGAAAGTCGGCATGGATGAAACTATTTTGGTTTTACGGCAAAAAAAATCAACTGCTGTAGGCATAGGTATTTTGAAGAAGGCCTAAAATAAAACTAAAATGTTTTAATACTTGCTGAAATACATCGTTTTTTCATTTAGATCTCCATTTTTCACCAAGTCCATGCGATGTTTTTTCTGTTGTATACGTATGAGTAGTCATATGAAGGTACTATATCCCCGACAGTTGGCTGTGCAGCAATGTACCCTTTGAATGCTAACTGAAAACAGGTGAAAATAAAAAGGCCGACTGTCGGGTACATAACGACTATCTAGCTTTTTACAAAAACATGAGGCCTAAGCTAGGCCTAGTTCAGTATTACTGCGATGCGAGGGTGGTTAGATCGTTCAATCAATGATATCGTGTTATCGTCTAATACAATTAAATAATGTGTGTAATATTTAAGAATGCACCACGTGGGTCGCTAATTCTTTGTTATGCGGTAGTAGTATACGTAGCAGAGTGACGGCACAAGCTAAGCCTAGCCCAGGGCCTAGATCGTGTACGTTCTTGATCATCGTAATGGAAACTTCGGGTGACAGACGATTGGGCCCAACTGGTGTGGACGATTGGACCCAAGATATTTTCAAATAAATTTTAGTCCTTAGCAGGCCACTGCCAGCACTCCCACTTCCGATATCGTTCCAAACTACTGTAAAATGAAAATACTGTACCTAGCTAGGCCCACGCAGCTCAGACAAGCTCCTCCTTAGTTATGTTAGCTCAATCAGCCACTGACCCGGTAGCATACCAGGCATCAAAACGCCCTTTGAATGGTAACCAGGAATCAAACGAGGAAGCAAAAAAGCCCAGGGTTGAGAACCAAGAGTGAACACTTCCTTTGCTAAAGTGAAGAGAGAGAGAGAGATACATGGCCAGATTGTTAATGATGAGAGACAGAGAAGGGCAGCCTAGAGGTAGCGTGTTGTAGTGTAGTTCCGTGTTTATCTCTGCTTTGGGTCCGCTATCCTGCAGAGGAAGATGATAAGCTTGTACTCTGTCTCTTATACACATCTAGATGTGTATAAGAGACAGCTGTTGCACAACCTGTGTTACAGCCGCAACAGCAATACACAACATCAATGATTGCAACAAGCGTGGTCAGTCATCCGCTAACTATGGCAACGCATGTGATGCCTCAGGTTGCGCCAATGATCTCCCGGACAACATTTATTGCGCCGAGTTCCGCAACTAACGGTTATCCTAGTCATGTGATTATGGCTACTTCAGAGGCAGCGAATGGAGGCATGCAACAGATTGAAATAGAGAAAGGTAGGTCCAGAATATTCTCAATGGTGGAAATTAATTAGCCCCTTCAAAGTAGCGAAGCTCAGGGGAGGCTACTGCTGTTACCGATTTTAATGTTTTCATTGCCGTCGTCCTGTCGTTGGTAGTGAATTGTTACCACAATATCTAAAGTTTGGTAACAGTCTTATTTGTTTCAAACTTGGCAGAATGGTAGATAATAATGAGAAGATGTAGCCTATTGTCTTTGGTACGTGTGTGAATATGTTAATTGCTCATTTGCATAATTAATATGTACTAATCGGGACATTTATGCTAGTTTCCAGGATAACTTAAGTTTGGCAAGTCTGATTGGTTTCAGTCTTTGCACAAAGCAAGATAGTAATAAATTGACCAAGTCTATTGTTTTTGGTAAATGTGTGAATATGCTAATAGCTTATTTGCATAATATCTCAATAATTGGGAAGTTTACGCTAGTTACCACAATAACTTAAGTTTTAGGTAGGTCTAGTTGGTATCAAACATTGCAGAACTCAAGATGGTAATAAAGCGACAGAACCTATAGTTTTTGGTATGTGTGCTCAATTTTACTAATTATGAAATTCATGCTAAATACCATCATAATTCCAAATTTAGTTGAAATTGTATTCTTCATGTTGTTGTCGTCGTCGCTATTGTAGTAAATTGTTTTTTCACGATAAATAAAGTTTAGTACTGTAAGTCTGATTGGTTTCAAATACCTTCAATTCTCAGATAATCACACTGGGAGGCTATGCTTGTTATGCATAAATGGAGCATTTCTAGTTTTCATCACAACACCTAATTTGACAGTAGAAATTCATTTTAATATTAGAAAACACTTCTCGATTCACTGCAACAATTCAACAATTTCTAGTGTGGTATTTTGTTAATTCAATTGAGTTTAACAGAATGTACTGAATATTAAGCCTGTAGAACACCTTATATACAGCATAAAGGGTTCTTGTTATAGACAGAAAAATAAATACTTTCATAACAGAAACAAACCTACTGAATAGTCTCATTGTGAATTCATATAATGTGGCTATTGCTCATAGCTGTCAAATCTTTATTACAATTCTATTGTTATGTTTCAGAATCATCTTCAAAAGAGGAAGCAGTTTCTAAGTCGGTAATAATCCAGCAGACAGCAGGCTTACCAACAGTTAAACAGGACACCCAGCAGCACATAGCTCAAGTTGTACAAGCTGTACCAACGCTGCTAAATAACCAGCCCCCACCCACACACACCCAGTCGCTAGGCCAACCACATTTGGTCCTGGCCAGCAACTACCAGCAGCAGCCGATCATTACACAGCCATACGCAGCTCAGACAAGCTCCTCCTTAGTTATGTTAGCTCAATCAGCCACTGACCCGGTAGCATACCAGACATCAAAACGCCCTTTGAATGGTAACCAGGAATCAAACGAGGAAGCAAAAAAGCCCAGGGTTGAGAACCAAGAGTGAACACTTCCTTTGCTAAAGTGAAGAGAGAGAGAGAGATACATGGCCAGATTGTTAATGATGAGAGACAGAGAAGGGCAGCCTAGAGGTAGCGTGTTGTAGTGTAGTTCCGTGTTTATCTCTGCTTTGGGTCCGCTATCCTGCAGAGGAAGATGATAAGCTTGTACTTGGCCAGCTGGTTCAAATATTAATCACTTCTGTCAATTTGGCTGAAATAAAAATCAACATCATCATAAATAATGATATACAGTAGTGCTTCTGAATGATTTTCCCCTCCTTTATGTTTTACTCCCGATTAGAATCATGGATAGTTCCATATATGGAGTGTTTTTCCAGCGTTTTGTAACAAACATTAGTTCTAGTCAATGGGAATTGTGTGATCCGTAAAACTATTCTAAGATCATGTTTATCCTGCTTTTATTTCTTCATTTGCACAGGAAATTTAAAAGGAGAAATTTTGTTCAATTTTTTCAAATGCTGTACAAAAGCTGGAATTGACAACAGAGAACTGTTTACAAGGTTAAATAATTATTCTAAGTTACATGTTTTTTTAAACCAAAACTTACAAGGTTCAAACGTTTCTAAATTCTTATAATTAAAACACCTATAAATAGCGCCCTCTATCATAGCAGCTGCTGCATGTTGATTATACCGATATATCTACTATAAATAGTGCCCTCTATCATGATTCCCTTAGCATTTTTATAGTAGATACTGCATGTTAACCAAATCTTGATGAAATTGAAATTGTGGAAATAATTAAAAACAATTAAAAAAAAAAAAGGTTTACTGCCAAAATTTGTAACAGACATCTACACAAGAAGGCTATCCAAAATCCATTCTTAGTAACTTGTTATTATTTAAAGTAATCAAATTATTTTAGAATGCGTCCATGTTACTTTGAGAATACCTTGGATGTAATACAACATCAAGAACGACTGTACTCCAGGCTACGTACATTCCATATGTTAATATAAATTACTTTGACAATTTCTGCTATTTTCGCTAAAAAGGAATTTGTGAACTTGCCAGACAATTTTTATATGGAGAGAAATATTGCAATGCCAATTGAAAATTGGAAAGTTAAAGAAAACGCTAATAAAATATAATGGTTGTTATTCATTCATATACCATGGCGATAGAGAACAAAAAATAAATATTTGATAAGATATTAAAATGTGTAAGTGGTGATAATGAATTATTCATGAAAAATAATGTTAAGCTTTATCCACAGTATTACATTTTTTGAGACAAATATTTGTCTTCTATATGATGATGTGATGTGATGATATATACATGATGATGTTATTTTACCTATATAGGAAAATCGCAGATATTTGTCGCATAAAGCTTAATAGTGTTGAAGAGAACTTTGGAGAGGTTTTGTCACATGATCTAAGCTACAGCAAAGTGTGCATGTCTTGTACTTGGTTTATCCCAGTGGATATTATAATATGCTACTCAAAAACAATGTGTTTGGATAAGAATAAATTCTTGTATATGTTGAGACTGACATCTATAAATACTGTAGTACACATTTGGAGCGGTATTGCCTACGTAGCCTAGTCGATTAAAACATACTTGGATGCACCACTATGTACAGAACATTGTGCCAGATAAAAGATTATTAACCAGCCCATCACCCCTCCCTACCCTCAAGATGAGATTGTTGTGGGTACAGAACAATCCTTATCAGAACCCAAAAATTATTTGAATGTTAATTGTTTGTTATAAAAAAAATTATTTAAGATGTTCAATTTTGATGCTTTAATAATTAGTGGTGTTTAAGTTAAACATTTTGTGTAGCTATTACATGCTTGCTTTCTTTTAATGAGATTTATTACACTGGGGAGAATTGGAAGGCAATGAGGACAATACCTTGCTGTTATCTAAACAGTTACATTAAATGAAAATATGTATATATTTATCAGATAAAACTGGTTTTGATAATAATAGAAAATACAGCCACTATGTGGCTGTACTTGAAAACTAACATTTTTTAGTCAAATGATTAAAATATTAATTATAGTCTCAAATAATATTGGTTTTGTAAATTATACTTTCCAATCTGTGTTATATATAAAATTTCTATTTTACTTCTAGGGTGTTGTTTTCCTGAGGTGTTAAAGGGGTGGGTAAACCTAGATAAGATGGTATTCCATAGGTACATGAACCAACAAAAAGAAAAAAAAAAGAAGAAATAGTGGAGGTAAATATCTATAGAAGGGCTCCCTCTATTATTAATGGTTTTGAGCCTGCGTGTACGGTGTCTGTATATTATGAGTATGATTTTTTTGTTTCACCAATTTCCTCTCACAAAAGGGGTAATTTGTTTGTGGGACTGCAATACCAAATTTGAAATATTTAAATTTCACATGATCTCTACGCATTTTTCCTATGTTGTCAAAAGCTTTCCAAAACCTGAAACTAATTTTAATTCCCCTCAAACAACAATTGATTCACGTGTACACAAGATAATAAAGATACACATTGAAAGTGTATTTTAGAATTGTGTGTATTAGAAAATGATACAGTTGCGATGGGATAATCAGAAATTATTGAGGGATTGTTCCATCTTTTAACAATTCAAAGACGTTTACTAAATAGATGGGAACTATATAATTTAGGGGAGTGTTTATAAGAATTCTTTGAAATGGATGGACTGTTTTTATTTTAATAATTTTAGATATTCAAGTCGTGGACGAATAAGCATTGAATTAGACTGATATACCGTTAATGATGAAATCTACATTTAATGAAATATTTTGATTTTCATTAGTTACTTTTGAAGCCAGGAAAATATTGTATCGAAAATGTAAGTTCATAGATGTAGAAATACACTATCTTGAGGCTTAGTGATTTTAAGTTTTTATTTATATTTTTTTCATTTTCTTTTGGTATTTTCTTACTCTGGCTAAGTTAATAAAGTGTTTTGTTATCTACAACTTTAAAATTTAATGTTGTATTAAAAAAAATGATGAAAATGAAACCAAAACCTGCAGCAATTAATCATATTAAATGGAATTATAACCTTGCAATGGCATGTTTATATTGATTATCTGTCAGTCTCTATTCACTGCTGTCTGTCTTTCTGTCTGGCGGTTAGCAAAATTATGCAAAAACTAATGAATGGATCATACAATTTAGTGGTACATAGATGATGAAAGGAAGGCACCATTCAGTTTTTGGTAGAAAAGGTCACGGAAATACAATTTTTTTACCCTCGAGCATAAAAGAAAATAATGGAAACTCCCTTCGTATTTAGCAGCACTCAAGAAGAAAATGTACATACTTGAATACATAGTTACCAACTGGCTTGCATCGTGCGGGACCCGCAGCAAACTGGTGTAGTCACACTTTTCAAATCCCCCAGGTTGGTAACACTGAATACGACGTGTGATTTCATTATTTTCTTGAGGGTATGTTGCAGTTTCGCCCATCATGCATATCGTTAGTATTTCAGGAACTGGGCGGACAGAGGTATGCATCTGCCCTTACGTTGGAAATATTCCTATAAAATAATCTGAAATAAGTCGCATTCCTCTACTCAGAGAAAAATGGAAACATCTGTTTTTACTGACTTGCAGACAAATTAATAGAGGGCGGTAGACTAAAATTCACCGATATCACATACTGCTTTAAAATGTAAAATATAGCGTTTTAAAAACTAAATTATATTAGACCAGGACAATCACAATCAACCTAATGTCAATCGATTAAATAAAATATCAAGTGGAAACGCTATAAATCGAGGCTTTTGAAAAAAAAAAGTTTTTGTGACATTTACCAAAACATTAGTTCTGCCCTCTATGATTACCAATTGCAGTATTTAAATAAGGTTTTTTTTGGCCATTGGTTCTTGTGAAATAGACTACAGTATAAGTACTGTACTTTCTCCATAAACGTACAGTAATTATTAAGTGAAAATATCATCATGCTCTTTTCAGAAATTATTTGAAATACATTTTTGGCATTAGTATTGATTAATAGGCCCTATATGCTTTATAATTATATTACAATTGCCATTAAACAAGCTTTCACCAAGTCCGGATTCCGACCGTAATGGTGTCGTGCTTGGAACAGCCAGAGTTCTATCCAATCATGTGTGGGCAACAAGCCGACTTGACCCGGACATTACTTACTTGACCTCGATATCGATATTAATTATCACAAGATTTGTCAACGTGCACAAATTGAAATTTGCTTTCCAGAACATAGAATAAATATAAAATTTTAAACTTTAAAAAATGCAAAAGACAAAAAAGAAACATTGCAATATTGGAACTTAAAAACCATGAAGTATTGTAATAGACAGTTACATATAACATAATATTGTAATTCAATTGTGTAAATGAAAGTAACATAGTAGAAGCCTCGGTTTCTTTTTTTCAGGATTTTCTTGGAGGACTTCTTTTCAAAATGAATGCTGTAAATTTTAGATTTGCTACCATACAACATTTTTCAAAAGTTTGTTTAATATTTCAAAAATGTGTACAGTAAAAGTGTACAATAAAATAACATTGATCATAATAATCAAAGATAACGTCCATATTATTGATTCCCATGGTCTTCTTTTCGAAGTGGGCTTTTCGAGATTACTTTTGCATAACTGAAGAGGGGAGCGGTGAGTGGGGGGAGAGGGAGACATCTTTTCCGAGATGGGCTTCTCGAAAGGTCCTAATATATGTATTATATACTATATGCTTCGAGCCTGGAAAAAGTCTAGTGGTTCCTATCAAAACATAGGTCCTATCTGTTTTGATAGGTGGAGCAGACAGTCGTGAGTAGATGCCCACCTCAGCCCTACACCAGCCCCACCACATAGTCATAATGAAGCTCCAACAATTTGCTCATGATCAGAAACACTTGCAAAATTGTACGAGAGTTAAAACTTTTTTATTTAACGGCACAGAACTGCTACAGAACCTCTTTCCTTAAAACCTTGGCTTACGAAATTACATTGCGGTGAAAATGTGCGAGTATTCCTACCCGTACCCCCTTAAAATATATGGGGATACTAGTAGGGATGTCCCCCACTGTCCGGTCATGTCCTCCTCCAATGATCTGCGGCCATGTGGTTCTGATGTACTGAAAAAATACCTCCGATTGAACGACTAATATAAGTACAAATACAGGGAGCAGCTGTGAATTCGTCCTTCCTCCCACGGAATTCCCCATTTTGGCACTAATATTTTTGGACATGCTCTGTATTTGTTTGCTTGGGCAAGACAGTTTATACGTTTGCCTTTCTTCACCGGAGTATCCGGTTAGAGAATATGAAATAGGAAATGCTGTACATGCATAACATTATGTCGTTGCTCTTCTTCCGATAAAGTATTCATTTGCCTTCACTCAGTGTCTGTAGTGCTCGGTGGTAATTTTTGACTTTCCATAGATCTATAAAATTCCAGCTTTTGAGTGTGTTTTGAGCATTCGTTTAAATAATGATAATGATTAATTAAAAAGTGATAGTTAAAGTAATAGTTTTCGCTTTAATGTCTGCCCGCTCTAATACAGACATGTTTTCCCATAGCATTCCTTTAAATAATGATACTGATTAATTAAAAAGTGATAGTGAAAATAATAGTTTTCGCTTTAATGTGATTTAGAAATAACATGTAATATAATAAAATGATATGTGCCTTTCAAAAGGATTATAAGAATCAACGCACACATTATATCCTCTCTGTGATTGATTTTTGTGACATACATCATTTAATAAACATTGATCATTGTGACATAAATCGATATACAAGACATAACAGTTCCACACTAGCTTTCTGACGTCTTTACTCCATTGGGCAGAGTTCATTCTCACAACTATAGGGGAAGAACTAGAGGTAATTAGAAGCTTCCTATCCAGAAACAACAGTCAGGCAGAAGGATGTTCAAATTCAGGGGAACCAAATTGTGGAACTTTGCCCAAGGGAGTAGATGAATCTAAATCAATATTGCCTTTTCCTTTATTTTATTAAACTATTTGTTACTTTTCACAAATAAACAAAAAACTTGTAAAGTAAAAAGTAATTATTAAAGTTAAAAATTAGATGACAGTTAATCTAATTTATTTAACATCTTAATTGTAGGCTTATTTAGTCTTATTATCATTATTATTATTATTATTATTATTATTATTATTATTATTATTATTATTATTATTATTATTATTATTATTAATGTTGTTCTTATGAATTACCATATAGCACCTTAATTGTTGGCATATTTAATCCTATTAATGTTGTTATTATTATTATTATTATTATTATTATTATTATTATTATTATTATTATTATTATTATTATTATTATTATTATGTGTATGTATGTAACATTTATTTCCATTTCCAAACAGAAAAACAAGGAACATGGTAGCATCACCAAGAAAGCAACATGCTTGTAGCAGGGATTCCATAAACAAACAAACATTCAACAGAATTTAAAGAATTAAATAATAATAATAATAATAATAATTTGGATTTGTAAAGCGCAAAATACATAGGTCTCTATGCGCTAGAAATTTGCAAATTAAAATAAACTAAAGAGATGAGCCTTGAGACGATTTTTAAATATCTCAACAGAAGGACAATAAAACGAAAAGTACAATTCCTAAATAATAACAAAAGTAATAATGATCATAATATGCATCAATAATCAACAAACAATAATAATCTCAATATGAGATTTAAGATTCACTTTAAAGCAATTTATGTCTGTAATGTTCTTTATCACAGGAGGCAGGTTATTCCAGAGTTTAGCGCCAGAATATCTAATGCTTTGCTGAAACAGTGAGGTTCTATATTTGGGGAGGTGAATTGATGAAGAAAATCTCGTGTTATGGTTATATATTTTTACGTTAAATTCAAACATATCATAAAAACGTTTTGGGTAATTTTTATTAATACAGTTATAAAAAAATATATATTGCTGATAAGTATTGATATTTGTTAGCGTCATAAGATTAAATTTCTTAAAGAGAGGACCAATGTGGGCTGCAAAAGAGGATTTTGAAATAATAGGTATTGCCATTTTTTTTTTTTGGAGCAGAGTTAACTTTTTGAGGTTTGACCGGAAAGTACTTCCCCAGACTAAATTACAATACGAGAAATATATGGAACAAGAAGTGAATTATATAGGGTAAGAAGTACATTAACAGGAACCAAATGTTTGATCCTATTTATAACTCCTATAATCTTGGATATTTTTGTCGCAGTTTCATCAATGTGATATTTCCATGATAATTGTTCATTACGTTGATATTTACACACCGAGAAATTTAGTTTTTCCTACTCGTTGAACTTCATCATTGTTAAGAAAGATTTTAAATTTTTTTAGTTCAGTTACTTTTTTCTTTTTGCTAAATATACTGTAGCTACTTATTTGAATGCAGTGACAATCGGTTTGCATTGAACCACTTACATACATTACTTAGCTGTTCGTTGACGGTATGACATAGGGCGGAAAGATCATTATTGCAATTATTATTATTATTATTATTATTATTATTATTATTATTATTATTATTATTATTAATGTTCTTATGAATTATAGTATTAGATGACATTATTATTATTATTATTATTATTATTATTATTATTATTATTAAAGTAAGTAGATTAGGATTAGGATTATGTTTTGTGTATCGTATCCTATGCACATAACGATAACAATTGGTTTTCTGAGTTGTTAAACAAGAAATAAATAAAAATAAAAACAGTGTACGTATACATCGCGCCGCCGATTTAATTACAGTCCATTTTCAATTACAGGGCCGGCGGAACGTTTTTCAAATTTTTCTCATTCTTATTTTATGTGTGTGTGTGTTGAGTGAAAATGAGTAGGCATAGGCCTACGTATTCTTTTTTCCTGAATCAATGAACCCCAAAGAGAAAGGGGTGTCGGGTTCTCCCCTGGAAAATTTTGATTCCTAGATAGTTTTGGAGACAAATATCACAGCATATAACGCAGCCGATTCTGAGCATACGTCCTAAAGCACGCCATACTCTCAAGCCTTGCTTTCGGATAAGACCATGCCTATTGCCACATACACGACATGTCC